AAAATTGTTTATGCGCGAGTGCACTTGCTAATTGAAGGCGGATTGTATAAAATGGATATAAAAAAAACCCCTAACGAGCTGCAGTTTTATTACATCACGCGCTGGCACAGATGCAGTATATTAATGCCATGGGTCATCAATAAGGTGCAGATTTGTTCCTCAATTTGTGTTTCCAACACAATTTTTCACAGTGCGCATTATGCGCTCAAACTCATCAAAAGTCAACAAGTTCAACAAGCAACAACGACTTATCCAAGTGACTGCTGCAGACGCGCGTCTCATAAGTGAGTGGGAATTTACCGAACGTGGCACTTGCGGGAGTTAACACTGTATGCAATACACACCAAATTTCAGGCCGTGTAGATAGGCAAGCATATATACAAAACATTTAGTAAGCAGAAATCTGAAATTTACCTTAATATATTAAGTTAGAGGAAGATGCGACAGAATTGATGCTGAAGAATGCACTTCCAGCAGCCATGATAAACAGTTGGCGGTTAACGTTTTCTATGCACAATTTGATTTGACGAAAGTCACGAGACCTATTACTCTCTATCCAATCACGTTTATGGATAAAAATAAAATTAAAATAAGCATGTAAAGACCACAAACGGAGGAAAATAGTGGAGTAAAAGTACCGATACATCACTTAAAATGTACTCAAGTAAAAGTAAAAGTACACAATTTTTAAACTACTGAAAAAAGTACAATTACTGATAAAAACTACTTAATTACTGTAACGTGAGTATTTGTAATTCGTTACTTCACACCCCTGATTAGTACTGATCTAAAATGTCAGTGATGGTCATGAAATACAAGAATTGTGACTTTTTTTTCTATTTTGAAACATTTCACACAAGTTGAAAATAACTGCACTTTTAAAGAAAGTCAGTTCACTTTGTGGCCATATTTGCAATGCCTCTAGACAGCCATTTTTGTAAAACCATTTTCTGTCTACTTGTGGGGAACTATATACTAATGGGGAAATACTGAAATCCCAAAAACTTCTTGACAAACTCACATTTGAATAACATATTTCAAGCCAACAATAACATCTGACATGAATTTTCTAGTAAATATATATTTCAGGTTGGTAAAGCCAATGCTTATGTTCATTCCTGAGTGCAGGTCTTGAGGCACTAACTGTTTCTATGGCATCCAGAGCTTCTCGTGATACCTGTGATTACACAATGACTTTACCAATTGACCCTTCGCAGAGAGTTTGATTGACAGGCGATCTGACCAATCATAATGCAGAATCTGCCATTTTGTCTGTCAAACAAACTAGACAGGAGAGTAGATTAACGTCAGTGGACTTGAACTTGAAAAATGGTGTGTATTGACGTCTTTCCGCAATTAAAACAAAAAAAACCTTCTGATGTTCATCCATGTTTATTTCATGCTATAACTAGTAAAGAGGTAGGGATGATCGGTTCACGTGCCGCTTGAACTGAGGCACTACAGCGATCTGTCACGACTCATTAAAGAGCCACAAAACGCTATTTGTTGTTTGAATTTCTTAAAACATTACAAAATTTGAAAGCTGAGACTTTGTTTGATACCAGAAGTAACCTGCTCTGTCTTGTCTGTTGTTGTGTTGTCAGTGCCGTCTTTGCTCCACGATTAATTTTTCACTGCGTGAGAACATGTGTAGTATGAGAGCCGCATGGCTTGTCAGACATAGCAAAAGTAACTAAAGGGGGTGGGTCTTTGCAAAGGTCAATTGGCGATTGGTTCTTTTATTTAGAAGGCGAGACTTATTCTGCCCTATTGTGTGTTGCACTTACTCCCGTTCAAAGTAATACGAGTCTTGTCTTGGTATGTGTAATGTCTTTGTTGAAATTCAGTAACTACTAAATGTTTAAGGGAGCTAGATATTTGATCCATGTGAAGTGAAAAAAGTGAAAGTGAAGTGACGTGTGGCCAAGTATGGTGACCCATACTCGGAATTTGTGCTCTGCATTTAACCCATCCAAGTGCACACACACAGTAGTGAACACACACACACCGTGAACACACACACGGAGCAGTGGGCAGCCATATTGCTGCGGCGCCCGGGAAGCAGTTGGGGGTGCAGTGCCTTGCTCAAGGGTCTCGCCTCAGTCATGGTATTGAGGGTGGAAGAGAGCGCTGTACATTCACTCCCCCCACCTACAATCCCTGCCGGAGCTGAGACTCGAACCCGCAACCTTCAGGTTACAAGTCCGACTCTATCCATTAGGCCACGACTGCCCCTGTGCGGTTGTGCTGCTCCTACAATAGCTTTTTTTAAATGAAAGAACTCACTCTAAAAGACCTTGAGGTCCGATGAACCCAAAACCAGTCCAATTTTACAGGATTTAGTTGATTTAGATCAATTAGTCAACTACCTGTTCAGTCATCTCATTGGCTAGTTGAAGCCTGTGATTTTGCTCATCTTTATATGTCAGCACAAGTAAACACACTGTTCTGGCCAGAACGGTACCTTTGCTCTCTCACACACATGCACTTTGAGCCCTGTGTCCATGTGAGTACATTTTTCCCTTCTGACCTCATGTCTCTGACCAGGCCAGAAACAACACTGGGCCCACAATGGCACTCTAGCTCTGTGTGTGAGTACTGTAGCCCACAGTATTGGAGGAAGAGGGTGTGTGTCTGCCCTCTTCTAAGTTCATATTAGACTATGAGTTATGTAAGTATCCTGCTGTCTACTTGACCCTTTAGTTTTCAGGACAATCCATCTACAAATAGAAGTGCCTACAGTATGTAATAGAGGAGGGACGCTGACTTGTGTCTAATTCAGTTTGAAGAATTTGAAGAATTATTGGCATGAATGAGAGTTTCCTTAAGTTGTTTTGTAAAGCGTTTCCTCTTACAAAACGGTAGCAGCCAGACAGTATATCAAACCTGGGGCCAGTTGCATTAACCTAGCCAGTATGTTAAAAATTTGTCTAAAGGACTAGTGTGACCAACTAGCAGTTAGGGGTAATCAGTAATTTTTTTCAGATTCAAAGTAGACCAATCTACCTTTTTGTAACTCACTTTAAGAAATTATGACCAAACTTAAAGGGGTCATATAATGTTGCTAAAAATAACATTATTTTGTGTATTTGGTGTAAAAACGGTGCAGCCGGCAGATTCGAAAGAGGCGGCTTGCGGCAACCACATGTGACGACCCCGGGCTGGACTCCTCTTCGTCCACGTTGAAAGCCGATCCGGTGATCCACAGCGCAAAGTTGTTGTATTTCCTCAGCAACTGCAAATCTTCCCAGATAGTGACGTAGGTATGTGGGGGCGTGTTAGAACGAGCCGTTTTAGGTAAGCGTGGCTGACTCTTAACTTTTATAAAGAATATCTCTTTGGATTTGAGACTTTAGTCTTTGCAACTTTACAGATCTTCTTTATGCACCAAGAGCTTGTAACACCCCAAAGAGAAAGGAAAAATTGAAATCGCATCATATGACCACTTTAAAGAAAAAAAAAAATAGATGACTAAGTTTAAACAGTTTGTGCAACTGGCCACTGATTACCACTGAAGTGAATTTCAACATTTAATGCAAAATCTTCCAAGAAGAGTGTGAAGCTCCAAGTATACAAAGTATAGTTTTTAACGCTTGTGTATGTGCACAGCCCATCTACAGCTATGTAGTGCGCTATCAAATAGAAAAGTTTCCTCCTTTTTTAGTGTCTGTTAGGGATGCTCCGATCCGCCTTTTTCATCTCCGATACCGATTCCGATACCTAGGGTTCAGTATTGACCAATACCGATCCGATACCAGTGAAGTTCTTTTTTTTATTTTTTTTTTTATTTAAATAAATGTAAAATTTATATATCTCTGTGTGTGGAACTGATAATCATTCTTTCACAATCTACTAAATAAAGACTACTTCATTATAAAGAAAAATAAACAATAAATATGAAAAAATATATGTATATTCATAATCTATGACAAAAATATATCAAACTAGGTTAGTGGATAATTCGGCAGAAAAAGTTATTCTAGAAAAATCAGTGCACAATAATTTTAGAAATCCAAACATTTAGTGAAAAAACTATATTTTGTGGGGAACAAATAAAAGTGTTGCACTAAATATGGTAAAATGTTACACATTGCTATTTGTATTATAAAATCCATTAATGAAAAACATTCATGAATATATTTATATATAAGTATATACTATAAAATTAAAATAAATGTATTTTAAATTTATAGCATATTTTTTAATAAGGCAACAACATATGATCGATTCGATCGGACAAAACAAATACAGTGTGTCACGAAGCGCATACAATATGCGCATC